ATATTAGGGTGACCCAAAAAAAAAAGAATATTTTTTTTCTCATCTCTTGTAAAAATAAGTTGGTTTATCATGTTTTAAGAGCCCTGTCAAAAAATCCGCTCGATTAAAAAAAGTTTAGGGGTTTATATATATATATATATATATATATACAGGGTGTTTCAATAAAAACTCCCAGGCCATCTATTCAAAAACTAAAAGTGTCATTTAAATTTTATAAACGCCAGTTTTTAGCCTCTATGATTGTCTTCACAACTATGTAAAAAATGTGTTTAAATAATACAAGTTGTAGGTGGCGCCACTGTGCAAAGAATTTTTTTGATGACAGAAACTTTAAAATTAATTTTTGATAAATCCAACATGAACGGAGATATTTGGGTTTTTTTATAATTTTAACGAGTATTTTAATTATAAATATTTTTAATATCCTTTAGCAGATGTTCATTTTATTCCGGTAATGATAATTTTAGTGATAATACGCTCGTGTAGCGCTAACTAGATTAAAATTATTACTTCCAGTGACGTCTCTGGGGGCCCGGGCCCTTAACAAATAATATTGGCAAAAAATAATACGTCACTGAGTTTCTGGTAATTTTTATATTTTTTTAGGATTAAGTAACTAAAACTATTCTTTTTTTGTCTGTTTAATTGTTTTCATATTTTGCTTCGTTTTCTAGAAATAAAAATAAAACCATTTGGAAAACAAAAATCATTAAGAAACAAAACCATAAATTATTAATACGCCATATTTTTTGCTGTTTAAAAACAAAGGTGAAACATTAAAACATAATTCCAGATATACCAACTGAGGGTTGTGCAGACTTTAGGTCTCTAGTGAAGATACACTCATCCAGGGCCGGATTTACGAATTTGCCGCCCATGGGCCCAACGCATCGTTACCCCGAATAACGAATGACTCAGCGAATAAGCTAGAGTCGCGCCCCACTCGCCTCGTGTACATCGACTGCCGCCCTTCTACGCAGTGACGCACTACGCAGAATAATAGTATAGTCTGATATAAAATTATCTAATTTATTAAAAAACTTCTCTTCCCACTTTTAATAGTTTTAATTATTGTATAAATCTGAGTGAAACAAAAATTCTGCATAAAACGCTCTTGATTTTTTAGCAAACCCAGCAAACACATAAGTCTGGTAATGTAATGGCCCATTACAGCGTTTAATGGTTAAATGATGGCATTTTTAACCCAAGCTGTTCTTGTAGTGGGCCTCTACAGGAATTTTTCGTTAATAAATGTCAATTTAGACCAAAGGCTGTCGTGGTAAGGTCTTGCAATGGCCCTTTTCAGGCAATGATATTTATAATTTAACATTAAAGGCCCACATATGGCAATTATAAGTATTAAGTTAATGGAACTGTAAAACACCATTACAGTGCCAAATGTTTTCCTTTGCTTTACACCATATTTACTAATGAATTGCCTCATGTTAGTGGTATTATGCATATGCATATGCATATGTAGAAAAATAATATAGGTTTTGAGATATATTAATTAATTATCTAATAGGTGTATTTTATAATTAATTATTAATGAACTAAACAACTAGGTAGTACCTTTTTCAAGTAAGTATTTTTACTGTACAATTTTTACATTAATGTCGTACTATTTAATAACCTATTTCATGTGACCTATTTTAAAATTTTAAATCTTCCAATATAAAAATAGGTACTTCAAAGAATTAAGCCAAAATCTATGGCGCAACTTTTAGCGCACCATATTTTGAATATTTAACCCTATTTAATTATCTCTATTCAAAACGAAGCTTTTTTCTAGAAAAACTTGCAAATTAGAATCCCATTATAAGACCATTCCTACAGTGCACTGCAGTCGTCAATGATTTAGCAATAGAATAGAGATCTCTTATGCATGTGATTTAGCCATATATGGCTAAATCACATGCATAAGAGTTAAGTAGATAAATCCAGTCTCTAGTCCAGTCTTTAGCACAATGGATATACGGTATATCATATACCTATAGGTATATCCAGTATTTTTACTGTACAATTTTTACATTAATGTCGTACTATTTAATAACCTATTTCATGTGACCTATTTTAAAATTTTAAATCTTCCAATATAAAAATAGGTACTTCAAAGAATTAAGCCAAAATCTATGGCGCAACTTTTAGCGCACCATATTTTGAATATTTAACCCTATTTAATTATCTCTATTCAAAACGAAGCTTTTTTCTAGAAAAACTTGCAAATTAGAATCCCATTATAAGACCATTCCTACAGTGCACTGCAGTCGTCAATGATTTAGCAATAGAATAGAGATCTCTTATGCATGTGATTTAGCCATATATGGCTAAATCACATGCATAAGAGTTAAGTAGATAAATCCAGTCTCTAGTCCAGTCTTTAGCACAATGGATATACGGTATATCATATACCTATAGGTATATCCATTGTGCTAAAGACTGGACTAGAGACTGGATTTATCTACTTAATTTGTTTTGGTGTTCAATTTAATTATTATTATTATTTACTGAAAAAAAATTGATTTTATTTTATAATATTTGTTAAGTTTTTTTTTAATTAAATATGTTATGTTATAATTATGTTTGAATTACATGTATTTTATAACACATTAAACACTTTGTATTTTTTAATTTTTTGAAAGTTTTAGGGAAATTCCATGATAACGAAATTTTTGTCCCGACTGTTATCTATATAGTAAATATATAGGTACCTACCACATTTAATCGGACATAATAGGTACTTTACTTATCCATTAAAGAATATTTAACTAACCACTATAGAATCTTTAACACCCCATGTAAGAACCTTTAGCTTGCCACATTTGTACCTTTAACCTGCCATATCGGAACCTTTAGCGGTTCTTGTAAGTGTCTTTATCGACTGCCGTTACATGCCCATAAAAGGTGAACGCGACATAATATGTAGAGGTCCATTAAAGTCAGCCTTTATAGGGCCTTTAGTTTATTAAAGGCACGCGTTTAAAGGGCCATTACAGAACCTTTACGGTTGTGTTTGCTGGGAAATTTTAACTGGCCTTCAAAATTTGCCGCCCCTAAAAATTTGCCGCCCTGGGCCTGGGCCCATGTGGCCCATGCCTAAATCCGGCCCTGCACACATCGTGACTTACTTTTAAATTTTTCGGGTGGAGACTCCACCGTGAAGTGCCCATAAAACATTCTTTTCACTTTCACTGCTTCTATATCATCATTTAAACGGTTGTTAGTTCATTTTTAAGGGATAAATTTCGGTTTACACATACCAATTTGACATTTTGACTGACGCGCCGGTAATACAGATTCCCAAGTTAGAAATTTTTACTCTATTTTTTATAGATGTCGCTCTATACAAATATTTAATTTAAATCATTTTTAGATAATAATAAGTATTTGTCGTAGAAAAAGTATAGTAAGCAACTCGTGTATAAACTTTTCTAGACACTCATTCAATTAGCACTCGGTCGCAAGCTCGTTCGTGCCTAAATTAAATTCGTGTTTAAAATAGTGTTTATCAAGCTTGATCATAATATACTATTATCTACTCCAATAAGTAGATAATTAAATGATTTTCAAAAATATTTAAATAAAATCTGATATTAGTCAAATGGTTAACCGCATTTTTTAGATATTTTAAATGTTATTATAGTCGCCTTCTCCCAATTTAAAACCCGATTGGTTCAAATCAAAGGGAATATTGAAATCGGCCAATCACTGATATCTGGCGACTCGAGACGCAAACCTCATCCTTGTGAATAATAGCCTGCATTATCTCTCGTATAATAATATACTATTATTATAAATCCATGAAAAATATATTATGTAAAATTGATCAGTATACAGGAAAAACAAATAGTTTATTTTTTCCTAATGGATCACCCTATACCTATATTAATTTATTTTTCGATTCCTTGTAAAATTCTAAGCATAATTCATATAACATACCATATACCTAAATTCAACCGTTTCTGAAATATTTAAATTATTTTTAAAGTAATAAGTTAAAAAAGTTTTTCTTGAAAAATATATTACAGGCCTGTACCTACATACATGGATATATTTATTATAATATGTTCATTTGTAGGCATACATAATATATTTCACCCGGGTGATCCCTATAATGTCGTCCCCATTTAACTTTTTTAAGTGTCCAAAAAAAGTGTGGTTATGTAGGTACTTAAAAATACTTTTAATCTACGTATAATAAAAATTGATCAGTGTACAGGGAAAAACAAATAGTTTATTTTTTCCTAATGGATCATGAATTTATTTTTCGATTCCTTGTAAAATTCTAAGCATAATTCAAATAACATACCATATACGTACCTAAATTCAACCGTTTCTGAAATATTTAAATAATTATTATTCTTAAAGTAATAAGTTAAAAAAGTTTGTCTTTCTCTGCCTGAGTACGGCATTTTTACTTACTTAACAAGACAGATTGACATAATGTCACTATAGTTATTTATTTTCAATGAACATATGTTGTTATCCTGAGACTTTGTAACAGTTAAAAAAATATTTAATGATAACATTTTAAATGCAAATATTTCAGAAACCGTTGAATTTAGGTATATGATTATATAGTATATTATTATATAATTTTGCTCAGAATTTTACAAGGAATCGAAAAATAAATTCATATATATGCTTATTTTAACGCAAGAACAATACTGCCCTGCTAAGCTAAAGGGCCGTATCTACAATATTAAGTGATTAAGGACAACAGGTTATTATAATTGTTAAAAACAATAACAATTATCTTTTGCCCTTTATTAGTTAATATTGTAGATATATTAGCTTAGCAAGGCAGCATAGTAGTCATGGATAGAAACTGTTATTTTTGTTTTTCTTATTACAAAATGTAAAAATTACCATTTTATAAATTTCTAGAAATTTTCATCCGTCTTTTTTACAAAAGTGACCATAACAAAGTTACCTATAGGTAACAGTATAGGTACTGTAAAATACATTTTATCATAAAATGTTTATTTTTATTTTTAAAGAATCATCAACTGACTTGATCGACGGGCAATATGGCGGAGTTGGAGCCCAACTTATCTATGGAACATTCACAACGCCACCTAACAGCATATCCGGAAGCGCAGTATGTGCTTTCAGCCTTCAGGATATCACAGATGCCTTCGAAGGCAACTTTAAAGAGCAAACGGCCATCAACTCTAACTGGCTGCCAGTACTTAGTAACAAAGTTCCTGATCCAAGACCAGGACAGTGTCATAATGACAGCAGAACATTGCCAGATCTAACGTTGAACTTTATTAAAACGCATTCACTGATGGATGCTAGCGTGCCCAACTTTTTTGGGCAGCCCATTGTTGTTAGAACAAGTTTTCAGTAAGTATTTTTTGAAATACAGTAAAAGGGATTAACGTAATAAGGTCGGCAAGTGACTTGTAAAAGAACTAGATAAATCATTTCAACACATTTATAATGTTTAGCCATCCTAAATACACTCCCAAATTTTAAAAATGTATGTATAAAGTTAATTTTTTTTCTTTAACTGGGAAACAGGGGGATGCATCCGGATGGTCTAGACATCTTAAGGATTACAACCGCTACATTTACTATAGATAAAATCACAACTGATATCATCTGTCAAACTTATACTATACATGTAATTCGTTTTTAGACCATCCGCTTGTTTCCTAGTCAAAAACAAAAATCAACTAAATTTTACTTTGGAAAATCTGTTGGCCTGGAAAAATTCATCTAGGGTTGTCACCTGCCACTTCTTGGTTTAAAGGTTAAACCCATTTAAGATAGAATTATATTTAAAGATTCTTTGGAAATTAATAATGGAATTTTAGTTAATTCACTTTTATTTTTTTTTACGGCTGGTTTTAATCATTGGAATAACGTAATATTGTTGATCTTTAAGCGTTATATTATTAATATGTACTTTATTATGACCAACACTGATTATTGGGCTGTAAAAATAATTTAGACCAAAAATTACAAACCTTTATAAAAACTAAAATTTTTATTTTATTTTTATTTTATACTATTTGTTATGAACTTAAAACTGATAACTTAATCAAAGTTTATTCGTATAATTAATTTAGAAATTCCATAAAAAATACTCAATTTAAATATTATTTTTTAAATTGATTATTTTATATAAGTAATAATTTTATTATGTTTTTCATTTCTTTTGTATTAATTTTAAAGATACCTATAAGAAAATATTCATTATGTTATTTTTAGTTACAGATTCACGCAAATAGCAGTAGATCCCCAAGTCAAAGTTCCTGGTGGAAAAACTTATGATATACTATTTATAGGAACAGGTAATAAATCCCATTTTAATATAACTCTTTAATTATCTAAACTAACTTTTTTGTAGACAACGGTAAAATAATAAAAGCCGTAAATGGGTTATCAGCGGAAACTAGACAAGGTGTAAGACCAGTCGTGGTGGAGGAAATACAAGTTTTTCCTGTACACGTAGCCGTAAGAGGGATTAAAATAATGAAGGGAGGCAAAAAGAACGATGAAGGGCGTTTAGTCGTCATATCAGATGCAGAAGTTCAATCCTTAAGACTGCATAGATGTGATAGTAACAAAATCTCCAGTTGTAGGTAAGTTCCTTTTAAAGTCAACTGCTTAACATGTATTATATATTTTTGTTATTTCTTAGTGAGTGTGTGGCACTACAAGATCCTTATTGCGCCTGGGACAAAGTCCAAGGAAAATGTAGATCCAGGGGGCAGGGCAGATGGGGTGAAGAATCGTACTTCTTCCAAAGTGTAGCAACAGGAGAACATACAGCTTGTCCCCCTCCGAAAATGGGAAAGGAAAGCTCCGTCGGAGGACTTAGCTCCACATTGCCCAAGTTTGGCGACCACCTGCCAAATAAAGACCAACCTGATGGTCAAGTTATAAATATCATGCAGGAAAAAACGTATGAAAATAACGGACCTGCAGTAACAGCCGCAGACGCTTTACCCACACAATATTCAGTGGAAACTTTAATAATGGCAGTTGTTGCTGGGTCTGTGACAGCTCTTGTAGTTGGTTTTATTGCTGGTTACTTATGTGGGAGAAAATGCCATAAAGATGAAGACGATAACCTTCCATATCCAGACACCGAGTATGAATACTTTGAACAAAGGCAAAATATGAACAGGTAAATCTTACTTCTATCAACATAAATCTCATTTATATTTAATCCAGTTTTTGTAGTCGGATTGCCGCAGAACCTAAACTGCTTCCACAAGAGGAGGTAACCTATGCAGAACCAGTTTTGGTTCCCCAACCACCGCCCAAATTGCACTCCCCAAAAAATACCTTAAGAAAGGGACCCCATCAAAACAATGCTGAAACTCTCTTCCAATTCCAAACTGATGGTGGTTACAATGGTAGAGACCAATACAGGGGAAGGGATAATTTCGGAACATTAAGATCGCACCAGGTATATATTTTTTTAATGTATTATTCATTCTAATAAAAAATCATTGTTCGCTATTTTTTGTTTTTATACAAGTATTTGTTAAAATGTTGTGTCTTAAAAGTCAGAGTAACAAAGTCAAAGTAACAAATTTAACAAATACTGAGTTCATCAAAATTTCATTAAAAGCTTTTAACATTTTTGTTAGAGCATGATTTTTAGTACTTACCAAATGAAATGTGCCTACACGTATTTGGATAACATTAACATAAAAATTATAAATTTTAAATCATCCATCACTTGAGATTGATAAAATTCTTTAAAAAATATAATTCATATATTATTAATCATTTTTAAAAACAATAAATCTGATATCTTACAACACGTTTTTAATTTTCTTTTTCTTTTATGTTTGTAACAGTCTTGGGGTTACAAGCACCCTTAATCCATATCAGATCAGGTAATTGATTATATTTTATATTATATCCATAGTATTATTATTGTCTATTGGTATTTAACAACTACTGAATCTATCTCCTCCGATTTTAATATTTCTTTTGTTTGTTTTGAATAATTATTTAATATGGATTGAGGTGTTAGCGATATTATTGTTTTGAAAGTGTCGTAGTTTAGGGAATACCTATGAGTCAAATCATAATGCTTTCTACTTTTAATTTTATTGCATAACATTCTTTTTTAAACCTAGGAAGCGTTTTTCCAATAAAATAAAATTTCTTTTAACAACTAATGTTTTTGATAATTTGATAAGGCATACAAGAAAATAAATAAAATCATTGATAATCGGAAGAATTTAAATAGTTTTGAAAAAAAAACTATCTGAAAATGTACGTGGTTTTAAAAAAGAATGATTTTGATGTTAGCGTACAAAAAAGAAACAGGATTTTAAGATTACAACATAAGTAATCTTACATAGAATAGAAGCTTGTAGCATGCCTATTGCACAAAAATGCATTTATTCATTGCTGTAAACCGTAGCAATAAATAAGTAACATACAGTATCAAAAATTAAATTCAGTCTTACTTTTAAATGTTTTGGTCTTTTAAAATAAGCACAAGAATAAATTTTTCAATTAAAACAATTATTAACTCAAAAATCACGCATTGGTGACTAAATTGGCCACAAAGATAGTTTGATCTACCTCCGTGAGACTCCTTCATAACTGGAAGAAGAATTGTCATTAAAAAAATTGAAGGGCAAATATGCAAAAATGTGATCAGATCTCTAAAAGAAAAAAAGAGTGCTACATAATCGCCTACAATCGTAAATTTCATATTTTTGTTATTTTTATTGAACAATTAAATCTTGCGTTTATTTTGAAAATCACTTTACAAGTATATTTAATTGGATGAATTAAAGACCCAACTATATAAAGATGTAATTTCTTAATAATAAGGGACACATAGCATTATAATAATTATTGTATAATTGCATTTATAACATGTTGTTGGTTATTGCCAACAACATGTTATATAAAACTTAAATTTACAATCACAATATAGTATTTTCTTTGCTAATTTAAATATTTACCACTTGTGTTTACTTACCTTATTATTACATAAGTTCTTACTATTTAAAAAATAAAATCAAATTGTCATTTTTTTTTTATTCTGTACTTAAATCTTAAACACCTAGCATTTGCATCTTTTGTAATTATTATTTTGTGCAGTTGTTACAGGGCGACCAGTACCGCCGCGGCGATGGTTTCGCGACAACGCGCAGCGTTAAGAAAGTGTACTTGTGAGAGCAAAACGAGGAGGGAGGCGGCGGCGTAGTTGGCGGCCGTAGTTTGGGCCGCCACCACCAGCAGCAACGCACAGGGCATAGCGCGCTGCCCACGAGCAGCGGCTCGTCGAGCTCGCCCTCCCCGCCCTCCTCCTCGCCTTCGCCCACCCCACCCAACACTGCCTCCTTCATCTACCGCGCCTAGAGCATATAAGCGCCCGAGGCGCGACCACCACCACCGACTGGAAAACTTCAAGAACACTATTGATTTACTTTGCAGGTTTTTATATTAAAACCATTTTGAATGCAATCTTCCTACAAATCAAAATATTGTACGGTTTTAATATAACGCACATACCATAATACCACATTTGTCCGATATCAAGGAGACAGTGGAAATTATTGGTATATCAGATATTTTTTTAACAAAAATAATGAAAATACTTCTTTTACCTTTTGACAACCAAAAATCAGTGTAAAAAATTTGTGTGTACTTCTAGGAGTGGGACTTTTAGTTATTTTATTCCAGGATTTATTTATGTAAATAAATTTATAACTAGCGGTCATTTTAGCTAAAAAAGATTAAATACAGGAGAATAAACTCTCGACCACAAGGCATAAAATTATACGCCAAATAAATGGGTAATTTACAATACCTAGTAGGTACCTACATATCCCAGCAAGCACAAACGTCCTTAGGACGTCCTTGGACCAGCATTTTGTCCCAGACTGGAATGATCCTATAAGGACGTCCAGACGACGTCCATAGTTCGACCTTTTGGAATATCCCGGGGATGTCATTTAAGAATGTCCTTGCACCAGCCTTAATGTCCCAAAATGGGATGAAAATATTAATTAATTAAAAATATTAATTTTATTTACTTAATAGGTAAAAGCCAATATTAAACATAATTGTTACAAAAAATCCTGAAGACAAAACCAATTAACAAAGTTATAAACAAAAATAGTTGCTATACCTCTGACCGCTGCTTAAGCACGCTTGATAACTATATATACCGAAAGGTTACAACTGGATAACGCTTATCGAAAAGGAACCGCACCTTCTCCGCGGGGAGGTTAAGAGGTGGAATTTCATATCCACGCGCCTTTTTACAGCCAACCCAATCACTACATTGCCACATATAGTAAGTACATTATTGTACCTACTTACAATAGTTAAATATAATGATTATTGTACCTGCCCAGTAACGAATAATACTTAGTTAATGGAGTAGGTTTGAGTGCGGAGGATTTCTTCAGGATCTACAAATCCCAAGGATAAGAATATACCTTGGGACGTTCATAGGACACATCCAGGACGTCCGTAGGCTGTCCTTTTTTGGGATTTCTGGACCTTAAGGTCCTTTACAGGACGTCCGTAGGCTGTGTTAAAATGTCCTGAGGAGGTCCAAGGACGTCCGGCGATATCGTTGGGATATCCCAATATTCTGTAAGGCTTTCCTTGAGATATCCTGAGGACCGACTTATGCTGGGATGGGGCATTCCATACCAAATCGACCACTTTTGAACCTGACCCCCTTTGATTTGGCTGAAGCTTTTTTATCTTATTCCCTATCAAAAACATTTTTCAGAATTTTTTAAAATTAACCCAACCAAAAAAAGTATGAATTTTTCAAAAAAATGTTTGTTTTTAATTGTAATTTATTGTAATTATTCAGACTAATCTAAATTTTTTGATGATTATCATTCTTTATTTTTTTTATTAGAACCTTTGACATTTTCTGTAAATTCTCTAAAATTTTCAGAGTGGGGTTTTTTGTTTTATATTTTTTTCAAATGAAAAATTCAATTAAAAAATTTACTCAGCTTATTTCTCATAATACCAACTTTTTTTGGTTGGGTAAAAAACTGAAAATTCTAAAAGATAAAAAATATTAGCTAAATTAAAAGTGGTCGGGGTGCAAAGTAGTTGATTTAGAATGGAATGCGCCCTAGTCTATGTTTGACGCGTATTTTAATAAGAGCCGTAGAGCCGCAGGTTACCTTTGTTGGTGTATGGGGGAAAGGTCTAGCAATTTACACCTGTATTTAGTTTTCTTGAACTAACCCAATGTATAAAAAAGTACGTGCAAATATCTCTTTAAACAATTTAAAAGCTTGTTTCATTACATAAAACTCAACTCAGATTTTTGCAATTCATATACTTTTGCATTAATTTTTATTGTCAAAAAGGGTACATTTTATAGCTACCAAATTAAGGTAAAAAGTTTAATTATGAATGACCTCATTGGCGTGACAGAAACCCTAAGGGTTTGGGGTAAATAAATTCCGTAAAATAACAACACATTGTACAATAAATGTAAAGTTAGTACCATATTATTGTAGAGCATGATAAAAAACCTATTTATGCCAAATGTGTGATTAATACCTAAAGAGTTTTTTGAGGCAAGTATGATATAAAATTTAAATTTTCTTTGCATTTTTAACACGCTGTATTTAAGATACTTAGCCCTAACATTAATTTAAACTTTTCGTCTCCAAATCTTGTGGAGAATCATTCATTTCATTTTTTACCTTAATTTGAAATCACCATATACAGTATGTCTCAGTATCTTGGAATCATATGGAAAACTTTTTTATTATTAATTTTAGGAAAAAAAGTTATTCTTCATAAAAAGTTCTGCATGGTGTAAAACTTAAAATGCAACCCACAAATATTAATTTTTTTTAGTCGTATACGAGGTATGTCAAAAAATATGAATTTGGCGCAAGAGTAAAGTACCTTTATATTTGACAATATCGAAAATTGTTATAAAGAAAAGTTAATCAGAACTAAAAACTACGTTTAAATATGCAATTTCATACATTTACATTAAAAAATTAGGTTTTGTTAATTTTTACTAATCTTTTTATTTTAAATGAACATTTATCTGTTATGATTAGAAAAAACATGAAAACCTTAAGTTAAGTCAGGGGATCTAGCAGGCCAAAACGTATTAGAATATCAACAAATCATTTGTTTATCAGTGAATCCTAAATTACATGTTACAGTTAAATTTGCTTTGATATTGTAGACAAAAAAGAAAAAATATTTTTTTTAATGTAAATGGATGTAATTGCATATTTGAACGTAGTTTTTAGTTCTGATTAACTTTTCTTTATAACAATTTTCGATATTGTCAAATATAAAGGTACTTTACTCTTGAGCCAAATTCATATTTTTTGACATACCCCGTATACGACTAAAAAAAATTAATATTTGTGGGTTGCATTTTAAGTTTTACACCATGCAGAACTTTTTATGAAGAATAACTTTTTTTCCTAAAATTAATAATAAAAAAGTTTTCCATATGATTCCAAGATACTGAGACATACTGTATAGTGTTAAAATGTGACATTTTATCATTGAATTACGAGAATCATAATTAGACATTAGATATAAAAATCTTAAAAAATGTTGAAATCAATTTTGTAAAAAGTTTTATTCAAAAAACCATCGCGCTGTGAAATAATTTATTATTATTTCAAAAATTAAAATTGTGCGGGTATTGAAACCCCCAAAGGATCTTGAAGTAATCCTCTTAAAAGGACATTACAAAAAAGTGACGTTAATACTTAGTGATATAGTCATTTAAACGTTATCCAATAAGAATTGCGGATTCAAAAAATTCAAAATTAGCCAGAAGAGAGTACTACTAGAAGAGTGCGAGAGAGAGCGAAAACGTAGAGAGTAGGGCAGTGTAATATTAGACGAAGATATTATAGAGTCGTTTTTAAGTATTTTCATGATTAATAAGTGCTTCTTATGAATGTGTTAGGTAAGAATGTCCGTATAAAAAACATAGATTGTTATTATTTAGCAACATTGTGATTAGAATGTATATTTTTTAAAATTGTTCCATCTGTATCTTTGTTATTAAATAATTAGATTTTATACTTACCTCACTTTGTAACACAGTTTATACTACAAAGATTTTTTTTTTTTGAAATCTTGTGAGACATTTTATCCTAAGAAATAATTTGCGTTTTTATCCTAAAGGTATCAATTAACTTCCAAGTTCATTTTAGTGGGTAAAAATAATTATATGGAATTTAAACGTATTTTATTGTAGTAATGCAGTAATACTAAACCATAAATAAGAGAATGTTTCAAAGTGTTGGTATCGAGATTGGTTGGAATTATTTCCAAATAAACCTATAGATGCAAACTCAATTATTTTACAGCAAGTTGTATAATAACTGATTTTTTTAAATGTTGGCTTTTTTAATTTGTTTAAAGCAACTAGTAATGTACATAAGACTGAGATAAATAATACTCCGTGTCCAAGTTTAGTAATTAAAACGCTGATTTTTCTAATTTACCATTTATTCAAGTACAAATTATTCCAATATTGCTTGCTCTTTCGATAGAGCGTTCGTGACTAATTTTGATTTGTTAGACATTGGTATTTTTATTATTTATTAGAGTGTATAACAAATCAGCAATAAGTCAATTATTTGGTGCTTGTCGCCAGAAATATTTTCTTCTTTAAAAAGTCTAAAACGGAAACTTTTACCGAATGATTTGTTTTTTACCATATATCGCGTCTTTAGGTATACCTACTTTTATTGTTGCTCAAACCAGGTAGAGGTTATTTAGAGACACACTTTATGTTATTGTTTTTGTGTTATAATTTATGTAGGTACGTATTTATGTTACTTTTTAACCCATTCATCTCATGTTTTCACACATAATTGTGATTAATACTAAAGTCGTGTATGACTGCGTAATTTCTCGCGGCATTTTTAATTTTACCCTATCCGATATTTATCGAGGACGTATGCAGAAAAAATTATTGGAGTGGGGTTGCTTGCACATTAGAATAAAATAAAAGTATTAGCTTGCTAAAATTCCTGAAAAAATCTCAGAACAAAAAAAAACGGTTTCTTACATTTCAAACTCCAAAAACCCGTCCTGCGTACGCCCCTGATTTTATTGAACAATAAACCTATTTTGATAATGTAAATAGCGCGTGAAATGATTCAGTCAATGTAGATTTCATTTTGATAGTCTTTTTA